TCCATGTCCAGGTCGGGGGCACTCACCTCAACCTTGGGGCCTTTCACCTCCAGCTTGGGGCCCTTGATGTCCACCTGGGGGCCCTTGAGGTCCACCTTGGGCATCTTGACACTGGGCATCTGCCCCTTGGGCACTTGCCCCTTCAGGCTGGCTCCATCAGCAGGGGCCGCCGGCAGCTCTTCCTTAGGCAGGGTGGCCTCAGGGAGGGTCACGTCCACCTGGCCAGCGCTGTCCCCCATTTCGGCGGGGGGCATCTGGATGCTGATGTCAGAGGTTTTGAGGTCACCCTGGATGGAGGGCAGCACCACATCGACTTCCACCTTGGGTGCCTTCACCTCCACGGACGTGTCCAATGTCTTGACGGGGGCAGACAGGCCAAAGGAGGGCATCCTGAACTTGGGCATTTTGAACTTGCTGTCTCTGGTGGCCACTTCCTTGTCTGCCAGGGCCAGGTCCCCCTCCAGCTTGGCACTGGGGGCCTGCATGTCCACCTGCCCAGAGGGCAGCTCCATGTCCAGGTCGGGGCCACTCACCTCGCCCCTAGAGCCTTTCACGTCCAGCTTGGGGCCCTTGATGTCCACCTGGGGGCCCTTGAGGTCCACCTTGGGCATCTTGATGCTGGGCATCTGCACCTTGGGCAGGTGTCCCTTTAGGCTGGCTCCATCAGGAGGAGCTGGTGGCTGCTGTCCCTCAGGCAGGGTGGTCTTGGGGAGGGTCACTTCCCCCTGGCTATCCCCAGCCTCCAGGTTGGCTGTAGGCAGCTGGATGCTAATGTCAGAGGTTTTGAGGTCACCCTGGATGGAGGGCAGGGCCACATCGGCCTCCACCTCGGGTGCCTTCACCTCCACGGATGTGTCCAATGTCTTGCTGGGGGCAGATAGGCCGAAGGAGGGCATCTTGAACTTGGGCATTTTGATCTTGCCCTCTTTAGTGGCAAAGTCCTTGTCTGCAATGGCCAGGTCCCCTTCTACCTTGGCACCAGGGGCTTGTATGTCCACCTGCACTGATGGCTGCTCCAACATCAGGTCAGGAGCATTGACCTCGCCCTTGTTGTCTTTCATGTCCAGCTTAGGGCCCTTGACATCTACCTGAGGGCCCTTGAGGTCCACCTTGGGCATCTTGATGCTGGGCATCTTCCCCTTGGGCAGGTGTCCCTTCAGGCTGGCTCCAGCAGGAGGGACCCCCAGTAGCTCTCCCTCGGGCAGGGTGGCCTTGGGTAGGGTCAAGTCCACCTGTCCAGTCCCAGCCTCTAGGTCAGCAGTGGGCATCTGGATGCTGAGTTCAGAGGTTTTGAGGTCACTCTGGATGGAAGGC